ATCTAATAAAGTTAATGCAGTAACGTTTCCCCTATCCATATTACGCAAAATATCATCAACAATAGACACTAGGGCTGTAGCTGTACTGTAGCCTATATTCTTTGACATTACTTCAAAAACAAGTTAAGGGGGGCCCGAGATTCCTTAAAACTGCTTGAAAAATAAAACAAAATGAGTCCTCAAGATTGTTTAAGAATAATACTTCAAAAATAAGCAAAGGCATCCCTGAAATTCTTTAAAACTACTTCAAAAATAAAACAAAAGGAGTACGCGAGATTTTTTTAAATTATGTACCTACGTCAAAAACAAAATAAGGGATCCCCGATATTCTCTAAAACTAGTTCAAAAGCAAAACAAAAAGAGTCCCTGAGATGACATTCTTTGAAATGGCTTCAAATACGAGTCAAGGGAGCTCCGACATTCTTTAAAACTGCTTCAAAAATTAAACAAAATGAGTCCTCTAGATTTTTTTAAATTAATATTTCAAAAACAAGAAAAAGGATCGCTGAGATTTTTTAAAACTACTTCAAAAACAAAACAAAAGGAGTCCCCGAGATTTTCTAAAACTAGGTACTTCAAAAATACAATAAGGAGAGATTATTTAAAACTATTTCAAAAACATATCAAAATAAGTCTTCGACATTCTTTGACATTACTTCAAAAACAAGTCAACGGTGCCCCGAGATTCTTTAACACTGCTTCAAAAGCAAACAAAAGGAGTCAAGGAGGTCCAGAAATTCTTTAAAATTACTTCAAAATTCTTTTAAATTAATACTTCAAAAACAAGAAAAGGTATTTCTGAGATTTTTTAAAACTACTTCAAAAACAAAACAAAAGTAGTCCCCGAGATTATTTTAAATTATGTATTTCAAAATCAAATTAAGGTATCCCCGAAATTTTCTAAAACTAGTTCAAAGACAGAACAAAAAGAGTTCTCGAAATTCTTTGAAGTTACTTTAAAAACCAGTCAAGGACCTCCCGACATTCTTTTAAATTACTTCAAAAACAAAATAACGGATCCCTGAGATTCTTTAAAACTGGTTCAAAAACAAGTCAAGGGATCCCGGAGATTCTTTAAAACCACTTCAAAAACAAGTCAAGAGATCCCTGAGATTCTTTAAAACTATGTAAGTACTTCAAAAACAAAATAAGGGATCTTCAAGATTGTTTAAAACCACTTCAAAACTAAACAAAAGGAGTCTCCGAGATTACTTCAAAAAAAAAACACAAGTGGTTTGACATTTTTTCAAATTACTCAAAAAAAAATAAATAAAAACAAAATGGTTTTCCGAGATTCTTTTAAATTCTTAAAAAAAAACTGAAAAATAATAAAATTTTAAATTTTGATTTAGTTGATACCACAACAAAGTACGTACGTTTATTTATCCTTCCACAGAATATTGTAAGACAGACTTTAAAAATAACCCTTGGCGATTTTGTTTTTTTTTATTAACTCTTTTATTGTCAAAAATTTCAAAGAAATTGGAATAACGCGACAACATCGCATTGAAATTTCAAAAGTGAACAAATCATAGTTATAAAGCCTAAGAACAGGTCAATCAAAATATGTAAAAATATATAGGGTGTTTCATTTCAAACTAAGTTACTAACTACTTAGTAGGTACTTGCTAAGTTAAGACTAATTTTGGCAAATAACATACCCTCTAAGAAAATAGAGGGCGGGTGGGCGGGCTACTACTTGCTAAGATAAGACTGAACAATATTAAGAGTAACCACTGGAATAAAGAGGGGGTGGGTGGGCGGGGCTACTGCTTGCCTATAAGACTCTTTAGAAAAAAGTAAACTCAGTTCCGCCCACATTTTTTCTCTATTTCAGTGTCTATTTGCTGTAAAATGGGAATTGATTTCTATTTTGACAAGCCGTAGAATCTAATATATAAACAAATTAAAAAGTGGGCACGCCCACCCCTAGGGTAAATGTGTACAAGAGTGCGCATATGTATAAGAGTACGCACTGATGATTTCTGGTTATTAGTGCCATCTGGGTAAGATGTAGTTATACCATTCAGAAGTTAATGCTAAACCTGAGATAAAGGTGCAAAAGTGACCTGAATATAGTTTATAGTTTGGTCGTACTGACGATTTTATGTTCACACGTTGTGTGGATGTAATTTTTACCGCTCATAGTTTTAGTTTTTTGTAAGGTACGTACCAGTTCTTTTATTTTACAGTAATAATTTTCATTAGTTGTAACTTTTAAGGTGTCGTTATACACTAACAGTTTTACACTTTCTGTCCATCAAAAGCTTTTAACTTTGAAAACATTAGGTTATGTACAAATGTACAAGAGTGCGCAGCGAGGTATTGTATAAGAGTGAGCATTGCTTGCAATACGTAGTCTAATAGTCTTGGAAATACATATCATACGATAATGAATTATTTAACTCTACTACTTTGTACTGCTTCTCAAGTTGTGTGGTGGTGGTTATGGTGATTTTTTTTTTATTTTTACTTCCTGAGCGTGTTGTAATCGAGTCCGTCGACCGACTCTCTATTTTTACGTTTTCTCGTCTTTTCATGACCCCTAAAGTACGAAGAAATAGGTCTCCCGTTTTATGTGTAGTCTGTAGTCACTTATTCCCATTTATTTTCACCTTAGAAACAAATATTTTTTCATAAAATGTAATGCGTACTCATAAGCGTTCAAATGCGCACTCTTGTGCAATGAACTGTCTAAGAGTGCGCATTTACACATCTTGACAAAAATTGAAATTACTCTTAAAATATAGTGGTGTTGGGGCGTACAATTAAATATATCTGATCTCTAAACATGTATATAACGAACCTATATCATAAAATTTGTCTATCCAAAAAAATTAAAAAGTTGTTGACAGTTTTACACTAAGTGCGTACTCTTGTACACATTTACCCTATTCCGTTTTGATCGTTCATTCTTATTAGCTTTGAAGAACGGAAGTTGAATTTTATATTAATAAATAACAGGTACCTACTCCTAGAATATAGAATTACATATTTTTTTTTAATAACATTTACTTAATTTTACGATTTTTTTTTGCAATTTTTGTAGTTTTCGTTTCAAATACCTATGTAATAATAATAATAATTTTTAAAATGTTTCACTTTTTGAATTTTACGATTTTAGAATGTTTCCATTTTTCAAATATTATTGGATTTTAAAATTTTTTAATTTATAGGATTTTTCAGTTTTTGATTTTTCATTTTCTCATCAAATTTTCGATTAGCAATTTTTCATTTCCTTTGTTTTTACAGTTTTTCAAAAGCAAAGTAAGGAATCTCCCGAATTCTTTCAAACTAAGTACTTCAAAATCAAGAAAATTAGTGAATAGTGCAGGATTAGGTATATCTATAAAAACGACTTATTTTAAATTCTGGTGTAAGGTATTACCCAAGATACCTAAATATTTATTTAATTTTTTATTAGAACATTACACCAATTTATTTTGTTCATCTGCTTATTCATTTTTTGATCCGACCGCCGCCTAATTTCTGTTTTTTTTTAGAGCCAACTGAGATTCTTATTTTTTTATTAATGCTTTTAAAGACAACTTTTGTCGTTTTGAAGCATGACTGGAATCGGACAGTGTTGGATTTTTAAAAAGGGTTTTTCATTGATGTTTTTAAAATTTGAAAAAATGACACTAAATACTTACATACAACAAAATGATTTCTAAGGAATACTTCAAAGTCTGCTAGATCTAGGCCGAAATCATCAACTTTACTATTAATTAATAATTTTTTTTACACAAGGTACATGCATTAAAATATTTCGAAAATTTTTAGTAGATATTTTATAAATATTTTTTGAAAATATATCTATATCAAGAGTAGATGTGGATTTGATTCCAGTAAAAATATTTCAAACTTATACTTACAAGGGACAAAAAATGTCTTGAAAAATTTAGGAATTTTAAAAAATAAGGAATTTATTTAATTTTTGAAAAAAATCTGTTTAAATTTTGCTTTATATAGAACCCTAAAACCGGATACTTTTACTCCATCACGAGTTTTATTTTGTATTTTTTAAGAGTAAAAAAAATTGTTATAGTTTTTTGAAAGCAAATAATTGTTTTACAAAAATTCGTAACAATTTTTCAAAAGACGGTGGTTCAAACAACGATTACCCATTTAAATTAGTTTAATTATATTCTCAATTAATACGCGTTTTTACGTCATAGTAAGCGCTGACATAAATTCTGTAACTTACTACTCGGTGAGTTGTGTAAGCGCGTCTTTAGGCCACTCGCTTTTTTTGTACAATTAAAACTACCCTTTCATCTTTAAAGTGAAATTAATTTTTTATTAGAAAATTAAAATACCTAGAGTATCTATTGTTTGTACAGTGTGATCAATCGGTAGAAATAAAAACACTGAAAAAAAGTAATCCTATAGGTAGCATTGTATAAACCGGCTTCATTCCAGCTTAGTGGCAGGTTGTGTATAAAACGCATAAAGAGAGCCACAATTTTCGCTATAGCCATCAGCATCAGCGATAATTGTCACGATGCGCCGCACTAATGTGATCAAAGACAATGCGATAAACAATATTAATGACCCAATAGGGCGATATCGCAAATCCACATTATCTCCGAAACAATGCAGCCCCCACTAATTAAACGACTAGCCATAACATTTTCAACGCTACTAAATTTAAATTGTTTCATCAGCATAGCCTAAATAACCGCCTTTGTTCCAAAATATGCCCGACAATCATGGCTTGATAATTTCCCAACTCGGTTCTTTTGTTATTACAAATCATATTCATAATTACAAAGCAAATAAAGATCACTCGACTACGTTTAAACAAGCCCCGCCCGCCATCCCGCCGCGCCAATCGCGGCTCGCGGCGCCGCCGTCAGCGCCCAATCCGCGCCCGCCTTACCCTCTCCACGCCGGCTTGATGCTTGCTTCGCCATTCTGTGTGGGGAAGCTGCATCCTAAACCGATTTCGGCAGATCAAATTTAGTTTAGTATATCAAAATCTGCCGCACGATAACAAGCATTTGCCTTATTAAAAATAGTCCAAATCGATCGGATGCGCTAAGCAGTGACCACCAATAATGACAATGCTGATGATGGAACGGATTATACACAAGAATCAAGAGCCCGCGGAGAAGGAACGGTCCCCTTTGCACTCGACGGAGTCGCAGATCTTCCTCCAGCCGAAGAGGATATCTGACGATTCGCGGGATGCCGAAATGTGCGATAAGAACTGCGACAGCGAGGAAGAGCTCAACGTGGACGTGGAGAACGACGACACGCTGTGTCCGGTCGACCTGACGCGGAGGCAGGACAAGTTCACGTCCTTCGAGAACTTGATTCCTTCGACCAAGACTGATTCGAGTAGTGATTTCATTAGTTTTAAGGATATGAAGCGAGCGGAGAGTGTTTGTAGTGACGATGTTAGTCGGTCGGAGAGTCCGAGGGATCAGAGTCCGTCGGTTGTGCCTCACCAGAATCGCAGACTAGCCTTTTCCGTCGAAAATATTTTGGACCCTAATAAGTTCACGGGACGACAGGGGGTTTACAGTGACGGGATTTGTTGTTGGAAACCGCACCACGACGGATCGAGGGGGTCGCCGGACTACGACGACAGCGAAACAGGTGAGAAAGAAAAAGAATTTTCGACCCAAATCATCATTTTTATTAGAAACGCAATTTGCGCGCTCATTTTGACAAGTACACATTACTGTATGCAACCTATAGAAACTTTGTCGACTTTTGAAGATTTAGTGTGCTTACGACAAGCTTAAACCGTTCAGAGCTTTCATTTTTACAGTTTTGAGTGTTAAATTGTCATCCATAGTGAAAAATTAAGGCGGATTCATAAATCGCAAGTGTAGGAGTATGTTATTTATGAAATTTAAATAACATTTATACATACAATTTTGAAGTGACGTCATCAGATTGTGGGTGGAGATGACTAGACAAATTTTGGTTAGCGTTTTACCATCTACATGATGTGCCTAGAATACATATAAAATTTGACAACAATCAACCCATTATTTTGCAAATTTAATTTTTTTATGATAACCCTTATAATCTAAAACAAAGATATGTATGTAATATTAAAGTAAACATAAAGAAACGTGCTACGCGTATGTTTCAAGTGAGTTTTTCCAATACAAAATTTTGTGATAACGTCATCAATATTTTTAAGTCACAAGTATCGAGTCATATTTTGCAGGATTTGAAATAGAATTTATTCGGAAAAATTTGGTCGGGGATAAACGAATAAATTTTGATTAACGATTTACCAGGACTACGATAAGCTTAAAACGGTTGCAACAGGCAGGCGGAAAAGAGAGACCACTTTTTTCGTATTCTGGGAGTCTTCAAACGTCGAGAAAACATGAAAGTGGCAAGTCGTCCGATGGACTCGATTACTATAGTTCTTTAGCTTAGGTTCAGGAAATCATTTATATGACAGGTGACAAACAGAAAAGCATAACTTCAGTAAGTAAAATTTTTTTCGTATTGGTTTCAGAATTGTCCTACTTCCACACGATTGTTTTGTCTATGAGTTTGTTTACGTAAATATATCTACTGTTTCACCGCGACGTACGAAGTCACGGATAAACAAATTAATGAATATGAATTCTACATTCATTGATTCATACGAGTACTTTAGTTTTGTCTATGACATACATTACAGTGATTGATGAGTCATGCTAATAACAATGGAAAACTATGAATTGGTGTAAAGCACACAGAGAAGTACATAACGCTTAGTTTACGGAGTCGTGTGTAATGTGACAAAAAAGGCGGGAACTTAAATAAATTGACTGATTCATTAATTTTTTTGACCCACCCTGTATATGCAAATCCAAAAAATATGAATGGAATGATAATTACAAGTACAAGCTCATTATGTTTTGTACAATTTAGGTAGGATTATTTTGTCCTGTTGTTGATTTGTTTATAAATACATCATTTCATATCTTGATGCTTCGCTAATAGTGTGTATACTAGCACAGGAGATAAAGTAATTCTATGACTTTGACTTTTCCTCTTTTTACGTCGTCTATAAACAAAGAGCATTAAAGATAAACCGGTCCTGTTTAGAAGTGTGCGAACCTGAAACGTGATAATGCAGTAGTCAAAAAGTCAAAGCCGTAAAACTACTATATCTCTTGTGGTAGCATACATACCTTATCACCAACCTTCCAGTTACTATTTAAGTGACCTTAAAATTTTCAGTTTTCTGATTTCAGAAGTTTTTCCGAAAATAAGGATCTTTAAACTATATACCCGTTAATTCTTCCAAGACAATGTCATAAAAATGCAAAAGCTGCGTTTCGATGCCATTTTGTTGACTTAGCGGCTCCGAAAGTGTACTTAAGTAGGTAAAGTTACTTAGGGCGTAGAAAACACATAGTTAGAGTTTTTGTTGTCATTTTCGAATTAATTCTACGTTCTATCTATCTATCCTGTTGTGAAAAATTATAGATCAGAGCGTCAGCATGGTTTTTAAATTGTAGATCAACAACGACAAAACTTTAGCCAAAAAAAAAAACAGTATTAATTGTGAGCCAGGGGGCGGAGCTTAATTGCAAAATCCATATTTTCCTACAAAATATTACCATTTTGAATATGTTTTAAGTTTTTGTAGTGGAAAGAAGACTATAACTGTATTAAAAAAAGTGGCAAAATATAAGGCCCGCCCACCCGCCCTATCTCAATTGTGATGATTTTTTTATTCGCCGTCAGTCGTGTGGGGCGGAGCTTAATTGCAAAATGCTTATTTTTCTACAAGAAATTACACATGAAACGTGTTAGTAGGTATATAATATAATATAATAATATATAGGTAATATACCTATAATAATATAATATAATCGTGTTGTTCAAATTTAAACATATTTACAAATTCTAAAAATTGAGTCAAAATTAAATTTTAAAAAAGAATGTAACCCTAGATTCTTTTATTTATCAATATAAAGGTTTAGAGCTAATAATAATAAATTATCAAAACGAAATAGGGGGGGTGGGTGGGCGGGGTCACTTTTTACTTTGTTTTGAATTTTAGATTGCTATTTTACTGTAAAAAAAATAAGACAATGACATAGAGAAAAAAGGTGGGCGGAACTGAGTTTGCCTTTTTTCTAAAGAGTCTTATAAGCAAGCAGTAGCCCCGCCCACCCACCCCGCTTTATTTCAGGGACCACTCTTAATATTGTTCAGTCTTAACTTAGCAAATAGTAGCCCCGCCCACCCACCCTCTATTTTCTTAGAGTGTATGTCATTTGCCAAGATTAGTCTCATCTTAGCAAACACTGCTGCTGCCCACCCGCCCTCTATTTTTTTAGAGGGTACGTCATTTGCCGAAATCAGTCTGATTTTAGCTAGTCCTAACAAAAAAAAGAAAAATTGAAAATTTGCAAATCGAAGAATTGAAGAACGGAAAAACTAAAAAATCGGAAAACTGAAAAATCAAAAATTGAAAGCTTGAACAGTTGCATATCGTAAAATTAGACAAAAAAAATGAAAAACTGAAAAATTGCAAATCAAAAAATGCAAGAAACGAATAATTGAAATTGAAAAAACAAAATTTATAAAGTCGCAATACTGCAAAATCGAAAAACTGTAAAAATAAAGGAAATAAAAAGCCGAAACGAAAAATTGCAAATCGAATGTTTGAACAAATGAAAAAATGAATAATCAAAAAAAAGAAAAGTCGCACCTATATAAACGGAGAAGTTTTAAAATCTAATAATATTTGAAAAATTATTATTATTACTTATTTAAAATGAAAGCTAGAAAAATTGCAAATCAAAAATTGAAAAAGTTCAAAATTGAATCATTTTTTCGAAAAAAAAAAGTCAAAATTAAATTTTATTACAAAAGAATGTAACCCTAGATTCTCCTATTTATCAATATAAAATCCAGTTTCCGTTTTTCAAAGCTAATTAGAATCATTAAAACGAGAAAGAGGGGATGGGTGGGCGGGCCACTTTTTACATTGTTTTAAATTTTAGATTTCCATTTTAAGTAATAAAATAAGACAATGAAATAGAAAAACAGATGGGCGGAACGGAGTTTGGCTTGTTTCTAAAGAGTCTTATAAGCAAGCAGTAGCCCCGCCAACCCACCCCTCTTTATTTCAAGGACCACTCTTAATATTGTTCAGTCTTAACTTAGCAAGTACTAGCCCCACCCAACCACCCTTTATTTTCTTAGAGGGTGTCTCATTTTTTAAAATTAGTCTCAACTTAGCAAAAACTAAGCCCGCTCACCCGCCCTCTATTTTTTTAGAGGGTACGTCATTTGCCGAAATCAGTCTTATTTTAGCTAGTCTTAACAAAAATTAAAGAAAGAAAAACTAAAAAATTGGAAAACTGAAAAATTAAAAATTGAAAACTCGACCAGTTGCATATCGTAAAATTAGACAAAAAAATGAAAAACTGAAAAATTGTAAATGAAAAAATGCCAGAAACAAATAATTGAAATTGAAAAACAAAATTTATAAAGTAGCAACATTGAAAAATCAAACAACTGTAAAAATAAAGGAGATGAAAAGCCGAAACGAAAAATTGCAAATCGAAAATTTTAAGAAATGAAAAAATGAAGAATCAAAAACAGAAAATCCGGATATAAACGGAAAAATTTTAAAATTCAATAATGTTTGAAAACTTATTATTATTACTCATTTAAAATGAAACCTAGGAAAATTGCAAATCAAAAATTGAAAAAGTTAAAAATTGATACATTTTTTCGAAAAAAAAAGTCAAAATTAAATTTTATTGAAAAAGAATGTAACCCTGGATTCTTTTATTTTTCAATGTAAAGTCCAGTTTCCGTTATTCAGAGCTAATAATAATAAATTATCAAAACAAGATAGGGGTGGGCGGGTGGACGGGGTCACTTTTTACTTTGTTTTGAATTTTAGATTGATATTCTACATTAAAAAAATAAGACAATGAAATAGAGAAAAAATGTGGTCGGAACTGAGTTTGCCTTTTTTCTAAAGAGTCTTATAAGCAAGCAGTAGCCCCGCCCACCCACCCTTTATTTGCTTAGAGGGTATGTCATTTTTTAAAATTAGTCTCAACTTAGCAAAAACTAAGCCCGCCCACCCGCCCTCTATTTTTTAGAGAGTACGTCATTTGCCGAAGTCAGTCTGATTTTAGATAGTCTTAACAAAAAAAAGAAAATTGAAAATTTGCAAATCGAAGAATTAAAGAAAAGAGAAACTAAAAAATTGGAAAACTGAAAAATTAAAAATTGAAAATCAGAAATTGGAAGAAACGAATAATTGAAATTGGAAACGGAAAAGTTTTAAAATCCAATAACATTTGAAAAATTATTATTATTGCTTATTTAAAATGAAAACTAGAAAAATTGCTAATCAAAAATTGAAAAATCTAAAAATTGAAACATTTTTTTCGAAAAACAATGGTCAAAATTAAATTTTATTAAAAAAGAATGTATCCTAGATTCTATTATTTATCAATATAAATACAACTTCCATTCTTCAGAGCCAATAACAATGAATGATCACAACGAAACAAAGGGGTGGGTGGGCGAGGCCACATTTTAATTTGTTTTAAATTTTAGATTGCACTTTACAGTAAAAAAATCAGACAGTGATATAGAGAAAACAGGTGAGCGGAACTGAGTTTGTCTTCTTTTTAACAGTCTTATAAACAAGCAGTAACCCCGCCCACCCACCCCCTCTTTATTCCAGGTACTGCTTTAATATGGTTCAGTCTTAACTTAGCAAGTAGTAACCCCGCCCACCCGCCCTTGCCTTGTCCAACTTCCCTTGCCTCTGAAGTACATACTATACAGTACAACTTTTTAAAATTTTTCGATTTTTTTTTTAATTCCTATAAGTTAAAATAAAGATAATACGTGTGTAGGTAGGTAGAATTTTTTCCTTACAAATTTTACATATACAGGGTGATTCACTAAGCGCGCGTTCGTCAATATTTCTTTAATCATTTGAAATAGAAAAAAAGCCACGAGTTGGGCGTTTCTAGAGCTATAATCCAAAATTATTTTTAATTTTTAATTGACCTCTTGTTAGGCTTCAGTATCACAGTTTATTTTTGGAATTCCAATGCGACGTTGTCATGTTATTCCAATTTCATTGAAATTTTTTAGCAATGGAAGTAGCATTATTTTAAAAATAAAAGTACGCGCTTGGTTGTGGTATAAATAAAGTAAAAATTTCATATACAGAGTGTTCAAAAGAATAATTATTACAATATCAATACTTCAATTTTTCAAACTGAAGACAACACTGTATTTAATTTTTTTTTGTTAAATATTTTCTATATTTAATGTTCACAGTTAATGCGATTTTTTATTCTAAGAAACCATAAACTCAGAACAGTAAACGGAGACGGCCGACGGTTACAATTTACGATTGTTTGATAACTAATATTTTGAAAGCAAAACTCCCTGAAGTACAGTCCAATAAATTCAGCTTCTTCGAAATTTAAAATAATCCTTATAATTTAAAGTAGGGATATGTACGGACTTCTAAAATGCAGATAAACCAAACATATGAACATGTATGGACTTATTTAAGGACCAACTTTTCAACCAGAAATATTGAATAAAATCAAAATTATAATAACAAACAAAATCAAGGCAATTTCATAAACGACAAGTACAGGAGTATGCTATTTTATAAAGTTTATATGACATATATTAGTAAAATTTCGAGACGACGTCATAGGTTTTTTAAAGGGGATAAATGAATACATTTTCCAGGTTTTTAATACATTTTCATGACAAACTTATTACACATATAACTAACGTTCCAGATGAAAAAAATGACAAAGGTAAAATAGCATTTTCGTACACTATGAACCTTGAAATGTTCAGCAAATATTAAATCAGGATATTGACCCCATCTTAGACTTATATTGACGTTTCCCACACTTTCGTAAAATTAATCTTCAGGAATTTAAAAACACATTTTACAACTTAAGTGAGTTTCATTAAGTAGCAACATTACTAAAATGATTTTAAGTAAAACCCTCTATCGATGTTTGCAGATTTAAAATAAATTTGTATAGGTCTTATTCATTTCGTATTTCCTGGTAACCAATTTGAGGACCACATCCTTAAATCCGTGCTCTAATTCATTTTATTATCGAAAGCAAGGCAGTAAAGTTTCAAATTAAACTTAGATGCTTTATTATAACACCTCGGTAGAAATAGAGCATGAAAGGAATTTAAATGAAATATATATATATATATATATATACAAAATATATCTATACAGGTCGTAATTTTGATGTTTGAAATTTGATTGTTAATTCAAGTGAAACATCCTTATGGTGGATGCGCCGGGCCCGTCAAATATCCACCCTTATTGTGCCGCTTCTCACCGACGGCACGACTACTAGTTGAACTAATTAGATGCTTAATTTAAAACATAATCCTCCAACCGGGTTGCACCACGTAATTTTCAATGACTGGCCAACTTCGCCGACCACACTGGAATCCGAATAATGATGGCTGACAGAGCATCACCGCACTGCATTGTTTTAGCGGTGAACAGACAAATGAATGCGGTTAACACGTTTGTCGCTTGTTACGTATTGATTTCACAGGCTCCCGTGATGTTCTCGAATTACCGACGCTTAATCATACTGAGCCCCGGATTTACCGATTTAATCGACAACGATGAGACGGCGAAAAATGCATTTTGTGGCCGGCAAAACAAACACGTGTGTCAAGTTATCGCACTAGTGAGCATAAACACCATTTGCTAGATTGCGTTACCGCACTAGTGTTTGCAAGATTCGCGTAGTTTGTTGAAAGGAGCAGAAAAGGAAGTCCTGAAATAAATTGCCCGCCATTAGTGCAATATAATAAATGTTCCAAGTAAAGCAGGAGCGTTTAATTTATGAAGTGCGGAACAATAGATTGCAATTAGAAAACCATCAGAGTGTTTAAATATTTTAATAAAGTAGGTACGGAGAAGAGAAGGGAGTAGGTGGAGTTAAAACGAGCGTATTCCGTCCATAATTAATACATCTGCTTAGAGCAGTAGCAGCAAAACCAAAGGATTAATTACAAAGTTCACGGCTTGCTAACGAGCCCGGAGGCAATTACGCTAAGGCTGTTAATTACATGTCCCGGTTCCGTTATTCCTTCCGTTGTCTAAACCAGCCAATGCCGCTTGAATGCTAAGACGCTGTAAAGTTGGTAAAGTATTTATGTTGGCGCACGCTGAATTTAAGTTGTTCGTTATTGTTGTTTTACCATCTCTGGTATCAAAATTTTACACTTCTGTGATCAAAGCGACGCTCTTGCCAGAAACGCTTTCTCCATTAACGACGACGGTGGGAAACAATACACCAATGATGAATGCTCCAGATTAGACGCATTCTAACAGATTCTTTTTTTTTTTCAGGCAAAGATCATCACTCGGACGAAGACGACGAAATCCAAAGCGACATCAGCGAAGACATCAAAGACCCCAACGTGAAGAAAAAGAAGTCCTCCGACTCCAAGTCCCAAAACACGGGCAAACCCCGAAGAGCGAGGACCGCCTTCACGTACGAGCAGCTCGTAGCTTTAGAAAACAAGTTCAAAACCACACGTTACCTCAGTGTCTGTGAAAGACTGAACCTAGCTTTATCGTTAAGTTTAACGGAGACGCAAGTGAAAATTTGGTTCCAAAATCGGAGGACGAAGTGGAAGAAGCAGAATCCCGGGATGGACGTCAACTCGCCCACCGTTCCTCCGCCGAACGTCGGCACTGGCGGCGGGTTTCCCGGATTTCCGGGACACCACACCCATTCCGGGTTATTATATTCGCATCATGTACCGTACGGGGGTGTTTACCCTCTTCAAGCGACGAGTTCGGGGAGCTATGCGCCGTATTTTCACTTAGCCAATCACGGCCATAATTTAGGTTCTTGAAAGTTGAAATAGCAAGAGCTATGATGATCTCGACGGTGCAATAAGTACTTAGTTTAAGGGTCGTTCCGACGGCGAGGGAAATGCGCCGGAACTCGAAGACGAGGTACAGTCATTTTTCACATATGATTCAAAATGATTTAATAATTGCAAAAAATAATATAAATTACTTAGTAAAATTATTTTAAATCAAATTTTTGTCGGAGCGATTTTGCGGATCGTTGGAGTGGCCCTTAAAAGTCCTAGACAACCTCGAAGTGTGCCATAATTGACTGTAAATAAAACTGGTACATTTTTAGTTCCCCCTGTATAATTAGTGTATAAATCCGCATTGTTGTATCTAGAAGTTGTATTTATTAACTGTATTGTAAAGTTTCTCTTGTAAATAAAACCCTAGAAGTTCATAATACATGTGTGTTTCTTTTAGGTTTTTTGTGCTAGGTCTGGTGTCACGCCTAAAATGCAACAGATATTAAATATCAAAGAAAATTAGAGTTCAAGTCGGCAACATCTGGTGAACATTAAAAGCGCCGACGATGTCATCTTGCAGATTTTTGATGGCATTTAAGTTGGATGTCCAGAGGTGTTAACGCATTTAAATACCCTCTGACGTTCCCTCATGATTTAATATGTTTTTGTTGTCTGTTTAAGAATTTATCGAGAAGCCATAAATAGGCCGTATCACAACAAATCGCTGGGTTATAAAAAGAAAACAGAGATAAAATACGACTGTTTAAATGAAAATAAAATCTATTTGCTAGGATAATACACTAAAACCTGATACGAAGTGACCCCGTGTTCTTTGTCGCCACAAACGTAGAACATTTTCGCGTTTCCTGCTTGGTACCCCAGTACTTTTCCCACGATGAGTTCGCCTTGGTGCATCACCCGTCCAAGGTTGACGATACTACCACCGTTTTCGCACCCCCCTATCACTAATTGTTTGCCAATTGTGGTCATGTGTAGATTAGTGCTGTTGGCGTTTTCCCAAGAAAAACAGTTCCAGTTTGAACTGCAAAGTATCTGCAACTATAACGTTAGATCTGAGTTTAACGCAGCAAAGTACGTACTTTCATGCCGGCGTCAGAGAAATTCGCGTTCCAGCCAAAGGGCAATCTCATGCCGGGTTGACCGGGGTAAATGGTTCCAGGCACGATTCCACCGTTCGATAAAAATGCTTGACCGATGAAAGTGGCTTTTTTGTTTATGTCGTGTCCGCCTGGGAGTGCGTCGTCAGGGATTTCTCCGGTGTAATCGCGCCAGTAATAATCTAAAAATGTTTGGGTATAAGATTACAACAAATTAATTATTTTTTGGGTGTTTACCTGCTGGTGAGTGACGTTTCTTTTGATGGTGATTTTTAAGCTGATTCATCTTGTAATACCACTACAACTGGGGATGACAGTTTAACCTACAATATAGTACCTAATGAAATTTTCTATCTAATCTTTTGTGAGTCAATTACTGATAATGATAACACATAATAACTTCGTGAACGCGAATTAATACGAAATTACTCCGACACTATTTCTACAGGTTTAAAAATAGAAGCAATAATATCATTCAAATAAGACGAAAAAGGAACAGGTCCAAGGCGGCAACCTTGTGAACTTAAATTTACATATACTTTAATTTTTAAACGATTCAGTTATTTTTCACAAAGTTATGAAAAAGATAGTTGTGTATTTTTATCCTAATAACGAAAATGATTAAAAATTGGTTGAAAGTTGTTTCGACAGAACTTCCCTCGCACCGAAAGTTCGAGTTGAGTTTTTTCTGTACACAATTTTGTGATTAACTGATCAACATTTTTGCAAGAATACGTATATGAACTTGGATTGGGTGCAGTGTAGTACTTGCTAAGATAAAACAGATTGTGGCTAATTACATACCCCCTAAGAAAGTAGAGGGCCGGTGGACATATTCAGTATTTTGTTAAAATCAGATTGATGAAATAACTGAACAGTATTGAGAGTAATCACTGGAATGAAGCGGGGGTGGGTGGGCGGGACTATTGCTTGCATATAAACGATTCTGTATGAAAAAGTTAAAGTTATCCCCACCCACCCACCCGTTCTCTAATTCTTTTCTTCAGAAATAATAAACAAATGTTATAGCCCATAAGTGGGACAACAAAAAAATTACTATTAACGCTTCTTTTTAACAGCATACGTTCTATTAGTTCCCATTTTCACTTTACAAAAGAACATTTAATTCACCCCGCCCACCCACCCGGACTCCATTTCAGTGATTCATTTTGTCTAGACCGAATGAAAGGCGGATCTCAACTGAAGAGAGATAAAATCGGTAGAATCGGAACAGTGATAAGATTGATTTTGGTAACTGGCGTACCCCCTAAGAAAATAACGGGTGGGTGGGAGGGGCTAATACTTGCTAAAATAAGACTGATTCTGGCAAACCACATAACCTCTAATAAAATAGAGGACGGGTGGGCGGGGCTAGTATTTGTTAAGATAAGATTGATTGTGGTAACTGACCGAACAGTATTAAGAGTAATGACTGGAATGAAGAGGAGGTGGGTGAGCGGAACTATTGCTTGCTTATAAACAATCCTATATGAGAAAGTTAAACTTATCCCCGCCCACCCACCCGTTCCCTAATTGTTTTCTGCAGAAATAAGAAATAAATGTTATATCAAATAAGTAGGACAACAAAAAAAAAACAATTCACGCCTCTTTTTAACAGGCTATGTTTTATTAGTTTCCAGTCTCACTTTGCAAAAGAACATATAATTCACCCCAACCATTTCAGTGTTTCATTTTGTCTAGTCCGAATGAAGGGTGGATCTCAATTGAAGAGAGATAATATCGGTAGATTGAGAACAGTGATAAGATTGATTTTGCTAAATGGCAGACCCCTTAAGAAAATAACCGGTGGGTGGGACGGGCTAATACTTGCTAAGATAAGACTGATTCTGGCAAACGACATAGCCTCTAACAAAATAGAGGACGGATGGGCGGGGCTAATACTTGTTAAGATAAGATTGACTGTGGTAAATGATCGAACAGTATTAAGAGTAATCACTGAAATGAAGAGGGGGTGGGTCAGCGGTACTATTGCTTGCTTATAAACGATTCTATATGAGAAAGTTGAACTTATCCCCACCCACCCACCCGTTCTCTAATTCTTTTCTTCTGAAATAAGAAATAAATGTTATAGCAAATAAGTAGGACACCAAAAAAATACGATTAACGCTTCTTTTTAACAGCTTACGTTCTATTAGTTCTCATTTTCACTTTACAAAAGAACATTTAATTCACCCCGCCCACCCACCCGGCCTTCATTTCAGTGATTTATTTTGTCTAGTCCGAATGAAAAGTGGATCTCAATTGAAGAGCGATAAAATCGCCAGAATGAGAAGAGTAATAAGATTGATTTTGGCAAATCACATACCCCCTAAGAAAATAACGGGTGGGTGGGAGGGGCTAATACTTGCTAAGATAAAACGGATTCTGGAAAACGACATAGCTTCTAATAAAATAGAGGGCGGGTGGGCGGGGCTAATATTTGTTAAGATAAGATTGATTGTGGTAAATGACCGAACAGTATTAAGAGTAATCACTGAAATGAAGAGGGGGTGGGTCAGCGGTACTATTGCTTGCATATAAACGATTCTGTATGAAAAATTTAAACTTATCCCCGCCCATCCACCCGTTCTCTAATTGTTTTCTTCTGAAATAAGAAATAAATGTTATAGCAAATAAGTAGGACAACAAAAAATTACGATTAACGGTTCTTTTTAACAGCCTACGTCCTATTAGTTCCCATTTTAACTTTACAAAAGAAAATTTAATTCACCCCGCCCAACCACCCTGCCTCCATTTCAGTGGTTCATTTTGTCTAGTCCGAATGAAAGGTGGATCTCAACTGAAGAGAGATAAAATCGGTAGAATGAGAACAGTGATAAGATTGATTTTGGTAACTGGCATACCCCCTAAGAAAATAACGGGTGGGTGGGAGGGGCTAATACTTGCTAAGATAAGACGGATTCTGGAAAACGACATAGCTTCTAATAAAATAGAGGGCGGGTGGGCGGGGCTAATATTTGTTAAGATAAGATTGACTGTGGTAAATGACCGAACAGTATTAAGAGTGATCACTGAAATGAAGAGGGGGTGGGTGAGCGGTACTATTGCTTGCTTATAAATAATCCTATATGAGAAAGTTAAACTTATCCCCGCCCACCCACCCGTTCCCTAATTGTTTTCTTCAGAAATAAGAAATAAATGTTATATCAAATAAGTAGGACAACAAAAAATTACGATTAACGCTTGTTTTTAACAGCTTGCGTTCCATTAGTTCCCATTTTCACTTTACAAAAGACCATTTAATTCACCCCGCCCACCCACCCGGCCTCCATTTCAGTGGTTCATTTTGTCTACTCTGAATGAAAAGTGGATCTCAATTGAAGAGAGATAAAATCGGTAGAATGAGAACAGTGATAAGATTCATTTTGGCAAATAACATACCCTCTAAGAAAATAAAGGGTCGGTGGGCGGTGATAATACTTGCTAAGATAAGACTGATTTTGGCAAACGACATACCCATTCACAAAATAGAGGGTGGGTGGGCGGGGTTAGTACTTGTTAAGATAAGATTGATTTTGGTAAATAACTGAACAATATTGAGAGTAATGACTGGAATGAAGAGAGGGTGGGTGGGCGGTACCATTGCTTGCTTATAAACGATTCTGTCTCAGAAAGTAAAACCCCCCGCCCACCCATCCGTTCTCTAATTGTTTTCTTCAGAAATACGAAATAAATGTTATATTAAGTAGGACAACAAAAAAATTACGATTAACGATTTTTTTTAACAGTCTACATTCTATTAGTTCTCATTCTCACTTTACAAAAAAACATATAATTCACCCCGCCCACCCACCCGGCCTCCATTTCAGTGATTCATTTTTACTACTCCGAATAAAAAGCGGATCTCAATTGAAGAGAGATAAAATCACCAGAATGAGAACAGTGATAAGATTGATTTTGGCAAATGACATACTCTCTAAGAAAATAAAGGGTGGGTGGGCGGGGCTAATACTTGCTAAGATAAGACTTTTTCTGGCAAACGACATACCCTCTAAGAAAAATAGAAGGTTTGTTAAGGTAAGATTGATTTTGGTAAATAACTGAACAATATTAAGAGTAATTACTGGAATGAAGAGGGAGTGGGTGGGCGGTATTATTGCTTGCTTATGAACGTCTCTGCAGGAGAAAGTTAAACTTAGCCCCGCCCACCCACCCATTTTCGAATTTTTTTATATTATAGATATATTTTGATTAGTAATTTACCTTGCTTAATATAATAACTTTAAAACGTTTGCAAGATTTCAAAGTATTCAGTTTTGCAATTCTCGATTTAATCAATAAAATAAATTCACTCAGAGATTAATTTTTTTGAGACACCATGTAATAAGCCAATCTAAAAAATAATAATGCAGTGATAAATCGCAAGTATAGACTCATATTTTGCGAGATTTATTCGGCAAAATTTTGAGCTGACGTCATCATTTTTGGAGGGGATGATTAAAATATCGGCCCAAAATCTGGGACAGACATACCTATTTTTTCTACTCTAGTGGTCATGAAAGGGGTCATGAAAGGTCGTGAAAACGTAAAAGTAGAGAGTCGGCTATGGACTCGATTACAATACTTCTTTTACTTACGTTCGGGAAGTAATAACACACAACTTTTTCCGTACTTGTAAAATAAATGTCTACATTGTGGGTAATTTACCGATTTTTGTCACAGACTGTTTGTTCTATATGTTATACAGATAAGATTCGAGAGCACTAATAAAATAGACAAATATCTAGAGCGTTGAGTACTGATAGAGTTGTGTGTAATGGGGAACGATATGGACAGCGCACACGTTCCAAGTAAGTCTTATTATTACTAAAAACGACTTATTTATTAATAAAAAATAAAAATCATACAAAAATAGGTCGTAGGATTACTCGTACGACTAATAATACGGAACCACAGCATGTTTGTTCGCAATGTAGTAGAAGTGATGAAGTCCCTCCTATAGGTAAGAGATTTTTTTTAATACGAGATATAATAGTCACATGATTCAGATTATTATTGGAGGGACTATCTTGGAATAGTACCACGTGATGCTGTACCCGGTGGGCACGACGTTACCAACAGAACTACCTACATCGGGCAAGGTTTCTACTCTAAAGCTGGTTTGCTAACAGGAACTATATATCCAGGAATAAGTGGGATTAAATTACCTTACAGCGGATCAAATACGTCTGAAATAGGTGTGAAGGCAAGTCTGACATATTTTAAACAAGTACCATAAAACTACAAAGAATTTCCTGTAGGTACTATGTAGCCCTAATGCAACTTGCTTTCAATGGAAGAGAGCCGAAAGTACCACTCTGCATTCCAGTACAATTGGAAAGCACCTGGTGATCGGAGGTTTCGAAGATGGAAAAATGATTAACATCGGAAGAGCTATGTTCCAGGGGGAGCTTGTAGTTGGAAAGGTGTTGGGGTTTCAAGCGGAGAAAGCAAAGTTGTACTTTATACATGGTGATAAGGAGTATGAAGTTAGTTCCTATGAGGTTTTGATTTACCAAGCCACACCATGATTTGAAGGATTGTAGATTTGAAAATGGAATTGTAAATATTTAATTGTGTTTTACATTAATTAAATATATGGGTTGAAATATGTTCTATGGTATATTAACATAATTAAGTTATTAGTAATTTTTACAGTAAATTTATTTTCGGTTTTAGTTAAAAGCTCGGGATAATCAACTTGGTTTAAGTAATGATATTAACTTTACGTACTATTGCAGTGTATTACTGGTTGCTTTTGAAGTAAAGTTCCCTATTGTTCTACCGTAGAATAGATTTTACAACTGAGAGTGATAACTAAAGGTCGGAATTATATGCAGAGAAATTTGGTTGCATATTAAAATATCGTGAACCTGAGTGGATACCGGAAATTTTGTCCCTTTTTTCTCAATGATGCATTTTTGTTTTCGGTCATACTAAGAATAACAACTTCAATAAAATTACTCATATATATCATTGTATTTGTATTAATGTTACAACATAAAATTAAATAAATTCATAATATCACTGACTAATATTTTGTTCGGAATCAATTAAATGACAATCATTATTTAAATCTACCGAAAGAAAGTGCACTACCAAATATTAATGATTTGGGAACTGATGAGATGGTTTCAAGAAAATGGTTGTCCGGTCCATAATGAACATTTTACAAGGGATTATTTATCACATGGTGACGACAAACAATTCAAAAATATTGTATGCAACAAATACAACTGATAGTAATAACTGATAACATTTATTTGCAGGAGTTCTGCACCAAAACTTGGTACGAAATAATCGCATTTTCCTTGTTGCTGCCAACATAGTACATTGTTCCCAGCTTCGGTTCGCTCGAGTGTATTTTTCCCACGAGTAGTTCTCCTTGGTGCATCACTCGTCCAACGTAGAGCTTACCATGGCGTTGATGACCCCCAATGACTGCTCTGCCAGTTGTAGTTGAAAGTAGTTCCTGACTTGTGGTGTTTTCCCAAGAAAGAGAATTGCGGTTTGAAGTACAAAGTATCTGGAACCACCTTGCTTAAATTTTAGTTCATTTTTGTAGAACTACGTACCTTCATGGAGATATCAGAGTAATTCATTCACTTTCCAGTTACAGGGTAAGTTCAAACCTGCCTGACCGGGGTAAAGAGTTGTCGGTATGACGCCCTCGCCTGCTAGAAATGCTTGACCGATGTAGGTGGGTTTACTGTTTGAGTCGTGTCCACCCGGAAACGCGTCTTCAGGTATTTCGCCCGTGTAATCGCGCCAGTAGTAACCTTAAAATATCACAAAATTACCAACATCGCTGTATCAAACTGACGGAAAAATTGAATGTGTTTAATTTTTTGGAACATTCAAAAATTGTAGTTGATGTTTTTGTTACTTACCTGCTGGTCCTGATTGATGACCGGGATGATGATGATGATGATGATGATGAGATTTGTCTGGGTTCATCTTGCCGCACTTCTGTATCTGGTAAAAGTACTATGTTCAGGTAATAAATGTTGCTCTTATTTATAGCAGCTTCACTTAACAATTCCAGTTAATGTGTACTTTCCAACTAATCTTTAGAGGTTGTGACTAATGACATGGAATAACCAAAAGCTAATAGGGACTGATCTACCTAATCTTTATTTCTGTGTATTACTGATAAGTGATAATCAAGGGATTTCGAAACTTGTTTTATTAATCCATTGTTGAAAATTATTTTTTAAATTTTGTCAGCATAGATTCACAGATCATTGCGACATTATTTAAAAAGAAAATGCCTGAAATAGTTTTACTACAACAAAAAATTGCCATAAAAAGATGTTTTTTGCAGTTTCGAAAAGACAGACCCGATCTTTCTTTCGAAGAAGTAACTATGAGGGTCTCGAACATATTTTCTGTAATGTAAAAATACGCTGCAAATATTTTTTAATTTTTTTTCTCATAGGTGGGAACATCAGCTGTGGCGAAAATTTTATCAACAGGGGACCAAAATTTCAAAACATCACTATCTGGCAAGCGAAAACCAACGGATTTATTTACAAATTATATGTTTCGGAAAGACCTGCAACGACAAATTTGGCAACTTAATGAAAAAAACGAATATTTCACTGTAGATACAGTTTTGGCATATTCTAGGGAACAGTTGGAATTTAAAGGGGGCAAACCACATTACACAAAATTCTTAAGTCAATGGGTTATAAACACAGAGAAGTAAATGGTCCAAAATTCTAAGTATGTGAACAAAATCATGTCGTTGCAGCCAAAATTACTTTTTTGAGAACATATTTACAGTTTCTAAATTCATGTGAAAATTTGACTTTCGTGTATTTGGATGAAACATGGATCTATCAAAATGGTTCATCTATTCGTCGTTGGGTGCACGATACTAATCTAAAAAGCAGTCCCACCAAAATTAAAAGTGAAGGATCAAGATTTACTATTCTCCACGCGGGTTGTTCAATGGGGTTCTTGGATGGTTGTAACAATTTTTTTAATTCAAAAAATAACGATAAGGACTATCATAAAACGATGGACGGGACACTTTTTCAAAATTGGGTGGTTAATCAGCTCATTCCTGCTTTGGCAAAGTTGAACCATAAATGTGTGGTTGTTTTAGACAATGCACCGTATCATTCGGTTCATTTGGATAAACCACCCACTTTTTCTAGTAAAAAATGTGAAATGCAGGAATGCCTCTTTAAACACAGTGCTGAATTTGACAAAAAATTCTCGAAGAAACAGTTATGGGATTTAATTAAACCCTTCAGAAACATTACGTCACCTTAAAACTGGTTTGCCGCATATCCAGATCGCGTCCGAGGGATTTTCGCCTCTACTGTTTGGTGCAGATTTGCCGCATGTCGCACTTGGGCGAAGCGAAACATAGTTTAGATTCAGTGCTGATTTGCCGCATGTCCAAGCAGAAGTCGATACAGTACCGTTATCCGTTTTTACGTACTTCCTTGCTGTTTTCCTTTTCAGCGTTAGGTATGGGGTTGGGAAAGAAATCGTATTCAACTTCATGCGCAGAACAATAAGAATAATGTGAAATAAATAAAAAAGAGACTTAACAATTTTGATGAATCTGAAATTAAAAAAAAGCAACTGTAATTTGTGCAACTCTTTTTCTGTTATAGATGTTACAAATATTTTCAAATTATTAGATTCGAAATTTTACAAATTAAAATTTCAAATAGATTTGTTGTTCGATAAACAAATAATTTAATTTTTTACTAAACAGTAACATTTTTCTTTAATTTTTTCTCGGGAATGATTGAACTTATTTTCTCTAAAGTTTTAGTGAACAAGATTTATAACGCTGCATACCAGTAAAAGAGTTCACAATTTTTTGTAGTATTCTTATTTGTAGAAACGATATTTCTACATCAATAATCACAAATAATAGATACATTTTTAATTTTTTAAATTAAAATGTTGTAAAAGTAATATGAAAATTAAAATTTCGCAGCGAAATCCACCTAAACATTCATAATTTATGACTGGAACGTTTACAAAAATCAGCTTTTGACATAAAATGCTTGCAAATTTGAAACAGAATTGGAATGTTTCTTGACAATCATGCCTAATACATTTTTGACTTGTATCTTTTAAAAAGAATTATTTCCGAATTTATAGCTATTTACAATTTACGACTTACTTCAAGAATAAATTCCGTATTAGAATTTTACCTATAATAATTAAATAGATGTATGTTGTTAACTTATATAAGGTACCTTACATCGAAACGAGTAATTTGTTTTTTAATATGACATTGCCTTTCTTTATCATTCTATTTGTCTAACAATTATTGTTGTGCAATTATACGCGTGTAAATAAAAATAACTTTACAATAACTTATTTATGGGTACATTTTTTTACCAATTAATTTAAGTGGATGGTTATATGTAATGGTAATAATAGCCGCATAAAATTCACTCACTGTTTAGGTATACCAGATATCAAAAGCTATTAAATCCAAATGTTATTGTTTATTTTTTTTATGTCTCGAGCGTAAGCTAAGGAAGTATTGTAATCAAGTTCATCGGGCGACTGGCTACTTTTATGGCTTCTGAACGTTTCATGACTCCTATAATACGAAAACATAGGTCTCTCGTTTCCGGTTGATAAAACGCTGACCAACATTTGTAATCATCCTCCCCATCATATAACGTCATCTCCAACTTTTACAGCAATAAATGTTATATAAATTTTAAAAAATAACATACTTTTTCATTTGTTGTTTATTGAGTTTTTACCCTAAGCACCCAGATTGAATTGAATTACCATAACCCTAATTTCTTGAGATTTTGGAAACAGGATATACTACATAAAGAAAGTTAAAAGAATTTGAAGTAATGTAATGATACTCTTTTTACATCAACATACTATTATTTATCAATTAATTGGGCATCGTCCAAAATACTGTTCATAAATTAAAAGTGCAGGAAGTTTATGCAAAAGCATGCAAATACATTTTTTGCGTATAATAATATGTATTGCTTTATTATTAAATATCTACTCATTTACAAGAATTATTAAAATTAGTAAAAAAAAGTATTCAAGTCTCTGTCTAGTTTAATATCTTACCTTATTAAAATAATAAGTTAAATCAATTATGTAGTTAGCAAACAATGACGTTTAATTTATACTTAGTAGGGTTCACGGCATTAAACTTTTCACATTGCATGTTTAATTCGGAGTTATAATTTGAGAATATAATTTACCCGTATATTTATTTTTGTAGTCTAGTAGTACTTCAGCAAATTTAGAAAACTGTATGTTAATTAAAAATACGTGACAAATCACGAGGCCAGGCAATCTAGAGATCTGACTGCTGGTTTGCGCGGGAAATACTGCATACTTTTTAGAAAAAAGGAGTCTATGATAAGCGCACGTAGGAGATGATAGACAGAGAGCTAATACATAGAGCTAATGTATTGGAAAGAAATAGGACAAGTTTACGTGTGCACACCACAGTCTCCCTTTCTTCTCCTAAACAGTTTGGGATCATACCATAGTATCATAAATAATAATGGACAAAGAGTTCGCAAAGGAATCCAACGGAAATATTTATACAATTGTTTACAACTACCAGTACAAATAATTCTTTCATTTTCAAC